TTTAATTATTTAATTTGTGATGTATGCACCTATTTTGAGTCTATATATGTTTGTATAAGTGTGTGCGTGAGTTTTTTAGTGACTGTTTGTAATTTATGCTGCAAATGGCGTTTAATAGCATCCGCTTAAGCATGCAAACCAATTTGCGGCAATTAATTGTTACTTACACACACACACACACATACATACATATGTAAAGGCAAATACAGCTTATATGCCGCATTGCTGAGGGTCATGCGCATGACGGCGTTAAGAACATAACATAATGTCGCTTAAAAAAATAGGATTAAATAAAATAATAACGTAAAAGTGAAGAAAAAGCACAGAGCATTAAAAAGGAGAGTTATTTGTTGTAGTGTGCTATGTGCAAGTAGCTTTTGTAAATCCGGCACAATGGCTGTGGCAACAGATTTTTTGTTTTTTTCTTCTCACATTGTTGACAACCAGCCGGCTCCGGTGGCAGCAGTGTCTCAACACTGCGCCAATATTGTATTTGCACGCATGGTGTTAGCTAACGGCCGCCTAGACTTAATCACGAAGTCAGTCAAGCGTGACTAAATTGAGGTGAACCAACCAATGGCCAAGACTAGCACTGTCCCCAATCCTAAAAAAAACAATAGCTAACTAGTGAACTATCTAGTTGCCATGATATAGGTTATGTATATGTATATACATACATATGTACATATGTACGTATGAATGACTCTTATCTTTGCGGTCACGAAGTGACGTCACTTGTTAGAGAGCATTTCTGATACTCGTAAATGTTGTAATGATAAGCGATGAAGTTGCTTTCGAAAGAGGTTCATACTTGTTTGCAAGTATGTATGCGTATATGTGRGATATACATACATACATATGGGAATGTATAATTTGTATGCGAAGAAAAAATGTACTCTTGATAAGTGATTCATTAGATGTTGCGATACTTCTCATTACAAAATATAAAATATAGTTTTTATTATATATGTATCAATTTCAATCATAAAACATATCTTATTATTTATT